TGGCGCTGTGGCTCAAGTGGTAGAGCGCTAGCCTTGAGCTGAAGAGCTGAGGGACAGCACCCAGGCCCAGAGTTCAGGCCCCATGACCGGACCCCCCCCCAAAAAAAGAAAGAATTAGGTTGTCAGGTTCAGAGAGACAAACTACATGTTTTCTCTCAAATGTGGAAGCTAGATCAAAATTAAATTACAAACACATGGTAAGACATACATGGTTTCATGCATATACACACAGATAGGGGTATACTGAGGTGCGGGGGGGGGTTGTCTGATGGTATAACTGCTCTGAACTATTGAACTGCCTCAAAAAAAATGAGTACTAGGAAGTAGACCAGGTTTTGGGGGGGAGGGCAATGAGGGAAGCAGAAAATGTAGTCATTATATTCAAGGTACAAAATACAAAAACTGAACCAACTCAAGGGTAGAGATGGGAGCAGGAAAACAGAAAATTATGAAAGGATGACATCAATCAAGATGCACTGGACTCAATCTGTAATCTTTGTACAACTACTTTATAAAAGTTAAAAAAGCTGGATGCTAGTGGCTCACACCTGTAATCTAGCTACTCAGGAGGCTGAGATCTGAGGATCATAGTTCCAATTGTAATTGTTTCATTACATGGCATTACAAAGCCAGCCTAAGCAGGAAAGTCCATAGAACTCTTATCTCCAATAAACCAGAAACCCAGAAGTGGCGCTGTGGCTCGGTGGTAGAGCGTAGCCTTGAGCTGAAGAGCTAAGGGACAGTGCCCAGGCCCAGAGTTCAAACCCCTTAACTGAAGGAAAAAAGGCTGGTGGCTCATAACTGTAATCTTGGCTATTCAGGGGGCTGAGATCTGAGGATCACAGTTCAAAGTCAGCCTGGGGAGGAAAGTCCATGAGACCCTTGCTTTTATCTCTGATTAACTAATAATCTGAAATGGAGCTATGGTTCAAGTAGTAGAGTGCTAGACTTGAGCAAAAAAGCCCAGGGACAGTGCCTAAGCCCTAAATTCAAGCCCCAGGACAGCCTCTCTCTTTCTCCCTCCCCGCCCCCCTCCCCAATAAAAAAAAGGTAGAATCACAAACCTAGTCCCCCATATGCTTAAGAGTAGCAGTCATTATATGCCAATAATATTGCTTACACAATTTTTTCCCTTTAGAATTTAATGAAGTACTAACCGAATAAAAACAAAACAGCAATAGGTAGTATGAGTCAAAAATCAAGAAATTTAGGGGCATAAAATCTGAGGATATATTTAAAATATCTGTCAAAAAAAAATCAAGTGATGCCTTATTGCTTAGTTCCTGTGGAATTAAGTGACATTTAGAATTTAATTCATGCTGCGTTTAGATCAAATTACTTAATAACTATAAAAAAATTGAGCAAATCTAGACATTTCAGCTGCTCCTACTGCAATATCACAGTACATATGGAATCTACAATAAAGTATAGCTCTCCTCTTCATGATACTAGTTTTTAAAGGACAATACCTTGCCTCTATGCACAGTGTCTGGCATATAGTAGACACTCAACAAGGAATTACTGCATATACTGTGTACCAGTGGCTAAAGACACAAAGCCCAAAGATTGTTTTATTCTAATACCATTATTTAGGTAGCCTAACTCTCAAAAAGCAGAAGAGTTTTGAAGACAGCTTTCTCCTTGCTAACCACAGCCCTGTCAGGAGTTGGATATGACTTAAATCACTACCTTTATATATGTTCATAAAGCATTTTGAGAAAAGAGGTGAAAGGTGCTATGTAAGTATAACATAATATGCTCAAGACAGTAAAAGGTCAAGGTGCTTTTTATGGAAATGGAATGGCTGTGGAAGATTAGGGGAGGATCCCCAAAGCTATTCATCTCACTGTCATCATTACGAGAACATAAGAATTTTTACAAAGATGCCATCACTTTATATAGTTTATTTTGTGCTAACTACTTTCTATAATAAACCAGGTGACAGAAAATTAAGCCACTTATTCTACACAAACCAATACTTTTAAATCAGAGTTTCACATTTTACAAGTCATGTTCAATAAACACACACAAATTAGCATTTTGTACACAAATGTTTATTTTTCAATTAAACATTCCCTTTAAACACAAGGAATGAATTCTAAATCTTCATAAAGATGAATTAAAAATGAAATCCCTCCAGTATAGCGTGTGTAATCACTGAGTTCTTGGTCACTACTGTTTACTGTTTAACATCAAAAACAAAGACAGGTTATTTAAAAATCATGCTACTGGATTTCTAGTTCTTCCTCTAGGACCAGCTCTATACTGATCTGCAATGTTTAAAAGTTTACATCACCAAATTGAAGCAAGTTTAAGGTGTGAAACAGCTGTGTATTAGACACAAAATAAACAAAGTTACAAGATATAGTCAAGTTCATAACGAATATAGGTGTTCTTATCATCATTGTAGATTCTTGGGTAATGTGCTATGAGAGCGTCCTGTGAACCAATGTAGATGGAGTTGTAAATTTTCCAATACACATCTCTGACTTTCCGAGCTGGATGAAACAGACCCTAGAATAATTGAAAGATTGCATTACAGCATATATAACCTTAATATAATAAACAAATTATAAAGGCAGCTTCAAAAAAATCTGGCAACTCAACCAAAGTACAAAGCAAAGACAAAGCCCCCTACAATAACCATTCTCTCATGCATGTTAAGTTCAGTGATTTGCTTCAACACATTACATTTGTGATTAATCTTTTAAAATATCCTCAACTTACCTGTAGACAATACTGTAACATTCTACATGGTCCAATAGCAACTCTCAGACCCTCCAGGGCTCCCATAACTGCTTGGATTACATGGGGAGATGTCTCAAACACATTGGGCCATACGTAGTTCAACAAGTGATTCAGAGAATCTTCACAACCAAACCCATAAACCCCAAGTGACATGTGTTGTACCACTGCACTTGCTGTTTGTCTGTGTACAAGGTCCCTATAATAAAGAAAAATATGTTAAGATATGTTTACAGTAAATAATCACCTGCCCATTTAGGAACTACATTACTAACTCAAGGTACTGAACAGACAAGATAATAATCTTAACATCTTATGTACTTTATACATCTTTTTAGTGACTAATGATTCCATTTGGGACATTTTGCCTTAATGATTTAAATCTCACTAAGGTTTCAAAGTAAGCCAAAGGTTCTAATTAACCTTTAAAATAAGTGAGCGAGAAAGTATGGTGCAGTCTTACTGTGCAACTAAGGAAAAGACGTGTGGATTTTATGTATGATTAGCAGTAATATTTTGTATTAAACTTTAGAAACTTAAAATACTTGATGGTAATTCAGATACTAGCATACAAGAGATACTCTACCTCCCATTAACTACTAAAATACTAGAAGTAGAGCTCAAGTAGTAGAGTACTAGCCTTGAACAAAAAAGCAATGTAATAGTACCTAGGCCCCTCAAGCCCCAAACCAGCAAAATCAATCAGTAAGTAACATTAAATTTCATTCAAAAGAATTCAAATCTGGGGCTGGGAAGGTGACTCAATAGTAGAGTGCTTGCCTTGCATGCATGAGGCCCTGGGTTCAATGCCTTATCACCACATAAGCAGAAAAAGCCAGAAGTGACACTGTGGCTCAAGTGGTACATCGCTAGCCTTGAGGTGAAGAGCTGAAACAGCGCCCAGGCCCAGAGTTCAAGCCCCACAACAACAAAAACAAAAACTAGCCAATAGGGCACAGGAATTCAAATCTTATCAACTGACCGTCTCAATTTTTTACTTTAACCCAGATGTTTTCAGCACAGTTAAATGAAGAGACTGGTTACATTCAATGTGGCAAATATATTTGTTTTCTTCACAGATACCTAAAGTATGTGGTCTTGCTTACAATTTGAAGAGTGGGCTAAGAGAAGACACAAATGTGTACTTGGCTAAAAGTCCTATAGGATCTATAGACACAAGCATTGCACATGTATTTGTTTTTTTTTGGTTGGTTGTGGGGCCTGAACTCTAGGCCTGGGCGCTGTCCCTCAGCTCTTCAGCTCAAGGCTAGCACTCTACCACTTGAGCCACAGAGCCACTTCTGGCCTTTTCTGCTTATGTGGTGCTGAGGAATTGAACCCAGGTCCTCAGACATACAAAGCAAGCGCTCTACCACTGAGCCACCTTCCTAGCCCCCAAGCATTGCACATGTGTAAAGACAGTTTTTACGTTTTTAAAAAGCAGTAACAGGTAATTTTAGGACAAATGATGCAAGATTAAAGGAAAAGAAAGTAATAAAGTAGTAACTGATATTAAAACTATAATATAGTATTTAATTTTAAAATTCCAAATTTCCCTACACACATAATTGAAAAGTATCTTTATACTCTTTTGAAATGGAATTCTACCTGGTATAGCTTGAATTTTTTTTTTCTTTTTTTTTGGGGGGGGGGGTCCGGTCATGGGGCCTGAACTCTGGGCCTGGGCACTGCCCCTCAGCTCTTCAGCTCAAGGATAACACTCTATCACTTGAGCCACAGCGCCACTTCCGGCTTTTTTCTTTTTTCTTATGTGATGCTGAGGAATCGAACCCAGGGCCTCATGCATGCAAGGCAAGCGCTCTACCACTGAGCCACCTTCCCAGCCCAAGTCTTTTTTAATATTATTTAACTCCTCACAAAATATTTTAGTAAATTGGAAATCCTTACAGATCTTATATATAATACCAGATGGCTCTTAGCCATATTGTTTCTTTAGTAGGTTGACTACTATCTTGCTTTGAATACATTTATTTTATGACAAAACTCTAGCTGAAAATATTTTTCTTAGAAGCTCTTTGCTCATACAGATTTGTTCTCTTGGTTGACCAAGCAACCTTCCAAAATTTAATCATCATACATTATATCACACTAATCACTGCACACAAGTAATAAATCATGCTGATCTTGAGTTTTTGAGCTAAGGACCGAGGGTATCCCTCAGCTTTTTTCACTCAAAAATAGTTATCTACCACTAAAGTCACAGCTCCACTTTTTGATGTTTCACTGGAGGTAAGAGTAGGCAAGGGAGCTAAAGAGAAAAGAGAGGGCTGGGAAGGTGGCTCAGTGGTAGAGCGCTTGCCTTGCATGCCTGAGGCCCTGGGTTCGATTCCTCAGCACCACATAAGCAAAAAGCCGGAAGTGGTGCTGTGGCTCAAGTGGTAGAGTGCTAGTCTTGAGCTGAAGAGCTGAGGGGCAGTGCCCAGGCCCAGAGTTCAGGTCCCACAAACGGACCCAAAAAAAGTAAAAATAAAAATAGATAAAAAAAAGAATGTGATGACCACAATTTTAGCTCAGCAAATTGTTTGACTTGCAGTCTCACTATATCTTTGTATACTTTATGTATCAATTTCTCTTTTGTATTATTCCATAATCAGTGGGAAGAAACTTTTACTTTTTCTCATCTCTAGACATTGTTTTGGTTCTCTATTTCCTTGTCAAACTGTGTTCAATGTGTCAGTGGGGTTCTCTAATGACAATGCAATTACCTGAGAGTTTGTTGGTACTGCCTACCTAGGCCTATCTACAGACCTACTGTTCTAATGAGTAAAATGTTCCAATGAATAAATTTCTGCATTTTTAGTTTAAAAAAAAGTCACAGACTTTACTGCCAGACTATCTTTGAATCATGATCCTCAGATCTAAACCTCCTGAGTAGCTAGAATCTATGTGTGTGCCACCAGCACCCAGCTTGACCAATTTTTTAAAAATAAAAGTTCATTATTTTTCAAAATATATTTCCCTAAGGAATTAAATTTGGAAGAGGAATTAAAAAGTCCTATCTACTGCGGATTTTGCAAAACCCATAGTAATATTTCTTTAACAATACCACAACAAACACGTCATCTAATAATTACTCTAATAAGTCCTAAAAATGAAGAACTATTTTTTTTTGCACTGAATTCAAATAACTTACCTATCCATTAAAGCATCTTCCAATAATGGTGTTACAGCATAAATGTAGTCTTTTCCCATTTCACCAATATATTCAAACAAGAATGAGAGTGATTTTAATACTCCATTTTGAACATTCAGTTCAGGAACTCTGTATTCATTCATTAAGGCAGGGAGTACTGTGAAGGGTGAACACGTTTCAGCAACAATAGCTATTGCTACAGTGGTACAGACTCTGTTTTGCCTTTCCTGAACTTTAAGGTTGTTTAAAAGTGTAGCCAATACATCATGAGGGCTAGAAAGAAAAAAAAAGTATTATAATTCAGTATTTTCTTAGAAGGAAAATAATGCAACTTTCAAATCACTAGCATTTTGGTTTTTTTACTTCATATAAATTAAAATGCTGATTCATATTTTTGCCAGTCCTGGGGCTTGAACTCAGTGCCTGGGCACTGTCCCTGAGCTTCTTTTGCTCAAGGCTACCACTCTACCACTTAAGCCACAGCGCCACTTCTGGCTTTTTCTGTTTATATGGTACTGAGGAATCGAACCCAGGAATTCATGCATGTTAGGTAAGCACTCTTACCACTGAGCCACATTCCTAGCCCTCAAATGCTCATTTTAAAGAAATTTAAATGTTTAAATTAATTCTTTTAATTAAAGGAAATTTTAAGGGGTCAAGAGTATCCAAAACTAGTCTCCTATAAAAATTGTTTTTCTCTTTTCCATCCCCCCAATTTACTTTTACTACATCTATTCTCTCCTTCTTAAAGCACTTCCTTTGCATTACTCAGAGGGGAATTGAGGCTAACAAGTTTTTCACAACAGCTATTCATTGCAGATTTTAACAGGTCTACTGAAATAAATAAATGTTACTATGATCAAGAAATGAAAAGTGTGTATGCTTGCATAGAGGACTACTTAACCTAATTAATTTTTTTTCTCTCCTTACAGGGCTTGAACTTAGGCTTCTGGCCCTTTCAGCTTTTTCCTCTCAAGGATTGTGCTCTACCAGGTGGCCCACATCTCTACTTCTAGCTTTTTGCTGGTTAACTGGTGAAAGAGTATCATGAACTTTTCTGCACAGATTGGCTTCAAACCATGATCACCAAGATAAAGCCTCCATCTGCTGGGCACTGGCGGCTCATGCCTTTAATCCTAGCTACTCAGGAGGCTGAGATCTGAGGATCACAGTTCAAAGCCAGCCCAGGCAGGAGAATCGTGAGACTTATCTCCAATTACCACCAGAACACTGGAAGTGGCACTGTGGCTCAAGTGGTAGAGCTCTAGCCTTGAACTGAAAAGCACAGGGATAGTGCCCAGGCCCAGAATTCAAGCTCCATGATTGGGGGGGGGGCCCCTCCATTTTTATTTCAGTTAAAATTTTAAGAAAACATTTTAAAGTTTGGAAGGTCAAAGGTTAAATGAAAAGCTTTCTCAACTACATTATACCATATTATACCCTAAAAGGCATTTTCTAACACCACAATGGATTTATTGTAATAAAATGGAAAGAATACTTACCCAATGGCCTTTGCAATATAACCAAATGTGTTGACTGTGGCTCTACGAATAGCTTTTTTATGTGCTTTTAAGAGCTCTAAAAGCTCAAAGCAAATCCTCATCCATTCTCTTGCAGACACATACTCAGCTCCCCTAATTAAAGAAAAAATAATTATTTTTATAGTATTAATGCTTTGGGATTGTTTTTGTAGTGCTAGGGAAATCAAACTCGGGGCCTTGTGCATGTCAAGCAAGCATAATACCATAAATATAAGCCCATTAAGGAAAAATAAATTTGTGCTGGAGGTGGTAGAGTACAAAAGCCCTGAGTTAAAACCTCACTACTAAGGAAACAAAACTACATTTACAAATTCAGTTCTGAAACCATGATAAACATCTCATTTTATGCATTAAATAGAAATTATTAACCAAACTGAAATTTGATTGAAAATATTACCGCTTCATATCTTGATCACATATACTTATGTGATTGACATTAAGCAAATTTGCTAACTGAATACAAACTGGCTAAGTGTAAAAACCAATACTGTTTACAAAAATGGTTAGACCATAGCCAGGTGCCGGTGGCTCAAGCCAGTAATCCTAGCTACTCAGGAAGCTGAGATCTGAGGATCTCGGTTCAAAGCCAGCCAGGCAGGAAAAGTCCGTGAGACTCAGAGCTGAGGGACAGCGCCCAGGCCCAGAGTTCAGGCACCATGACTGGCAAAAAAATAAATAAATAAAATAATTGTATACAAAAATAAACTGACTTAGAGACACTTAGGAGAGTACAATGGCAGGGGTGCCACTGATCAAGATGAACTGTACTTATAATCTGACTTCTGGAACTTAATACAACTACTTAATTAAAACCACTTTAGACAACTACTTAATTAAAAAAAAATGTTTAGGTCATCTGCTTACCTGTCAGCAATACGTCCAACAAGATCAATACAATTCTCTTGTACTTTTTCATGTCTGTTCTTTAAGATAGGGGTGAGTCTAGGCAGCAGATCTTTAATTGGTGGAGTCATCTTATGCATACCTATTTAACAAAAGCCAATATACCATCAGTCATTTGAACTGTGTAATTTTTATTCCTTTTTAATTCCCAATGTACTATACATGACTATGCATAAATATAAACTTATAGCTGCCTATGGAAAGAGAAAGCCCCAGATTCTGATCGGACTCAGAACTGCTTTTAACTTTTTATAAGAACTTTCGATTATGCGTGGAAATGAAAGAAATCAGCGAAGTGATTTAAAGAATGATGGATACTCAATAACAAAAAAAAAAAAAGTTTTCTTTCTGAAATGTATTTGTACACTGACATTTAAATATGGGGACAGCTTATGTTCCGGCCATACACAGCAATATAAGCCAGAGGTAGACATGTAAATTAAAGCAAAATTTTCCAGAAAGGGCCCCCTTACCCTTTAACTGCAAAACAAACAGATCTCCAGTCTCCCTGCAATGCAGGGTATACTTGGATGGTATTTACACCTATGAAGAGAGAAAAAAGGAGGCAGCTGGCAGGGGCTCTTGCTCTAACTAGAACTGCTTGCTCTGATTCTCTTTCCATTGCTTTTCCCACAATATAACTCCCTGCAAACCAGAGCCCCACAAGTGGCCAAGTAAATGATTGTTGCCAAGTCATTACCTTTCAAGTACAGAGAAAGGACTGGACTGACTTGGGAATTATATGCAAATGCAATCATTCAAATATATATATTGCATAAATATTTCTTACTAAAATGAAAAAAAAAGTAGCTACATATAAGCAGCTATTTTGCTATTTCTTTAAGGCCTACAGAAGCTATTTTTGGCAATAATAGCAATAACTACATGAGAGAATATAAGAAACATGTCTGCTTTACTATAAATCCCTACAAGAATACAAGATTTGTTCTCCATACCCAATATTTTTTCATACACTTGTGTTTTGACTTTGGATTAAAAGACTGAATTGATAGCTTTAAAGCTTAGGTATAAAGAGACAAGTTAATAATTTAATCAGTTCACTTTTCTATCCAGTTACCTGAACTTATAACAAGCAAACAAGCAAATAAAACAACCTGTCATATTAACTAATACAATGCTGAATAACTACTGGAGAATTTGCTAAAACTAAATCAAAACTTCAAGGTTGCTCTCTTCTCCCCCTTACAGAACATGACAGTATTTTTCAGCTGTAAAATAGTAAGACTATTTTAAATAAAATAGGACTTACAAAGGTAAAACTTTTGTGACATCCAATGTATGCATAATCTTGAAGTAACCAAAGTTTAACCAAAGTTACCCCAACTCCTAAGTATGATCATAAAATGTTTGAAATATAAAGAGAGTTAAAAAACAATGAAAATCTCACATGAACAGCAAATTCCATACCTATTACATTTACAATAGCCTTCAGTGCTCCAAGAATGCTGCCCAATACTTCAGGGTACTCTTCACCCAAATATTCATACAACACCACACCCAAGTGCCCCATCAGCTTTTCCTATAAAAGAAATAAAGGTAAGAACTTTTTTTATTTTTAAAATTAAACTGCTTGTTGAAGAAGTAATAACTGGGAATACAAACTTACCTCTTGGCATGTCTTCATAACAACAGCAGTTCGAGAAATCAAGTCAGCTGCCTGTTGCCTAACTTTTGCTGATTTGTTATTCAAACGCCACAATACTGTACCACATATCTGAGGCAGGTATGGTTTTACTCGTTTGCCAAGAGCATTGACCACTGTGCCAAAGCCATTCAACATTACTGAGTCCTTAAAAAGAAAAAAAGTTCCATAAAAAAGAAATAGTCACTGATAATCATAATTTACTTCTGACAATTGATATTTAGTAATATTCAGTCTTTCCTAACTACCCAAACACAACTTTAAAAAAACAGAGTTACAAGAACATTGGCAGACAAATGAGAAAATGAGTGCTTAAAAATTACTTCAGCTGGGCACCGGTGGCTCATGCCTGTAATCCTAGCTACTCAGTAGGCTGAGATCTGGGGATTGAGGTTCAAAGCCAGCCCGGGCAGGAAAGTCCATGAAACTCTTATCTCCAATAAAACACCAGAAAACCAAAAGTGGTGTGGTAGCTCAAGTGGTAGAGCTCTAGCCTTGAGCTGAAGAGCTGAGGGGCAGCACTCAGGCCCAGAGTTCAAACCCCACAACCGACCAAAAAAAAAAAAGTTACTTCACACTGGGAGAGAGGGAGGGAAAGGGTGACACTGTCCAAAAAGAAATGTACTCTTTGCCTGACTTATGTAAGGAATCCCTTTGTTTGTCCTCTTTGTAGTAACAATACAAAATTAAATTTTAAAAAATTGCTTCAAGGGATGTGGTTTAAGTAACAGAGTGTTTGCATAGCAGGCACTGGCTCTGAGTTCAAATCCCAGTACCATCCCCTCCACAAAAAACCCTAAATATGTATTACTTTAAATTTAATGTGTTTTTTAAAAATACCATTGCGGGACCACTGGTGTCTCAGGACTAGAATTGCATCTGATCTCAGGAGGCTGAGATCTTAAGATCAAGATTCAAAATGTGCCTAGGCAGACAAATCTGACTCTTACCTCCAATTAACAAGCAAAGAGCCAGAAATGGAGTTGTGGCTCAAGTGGTAGAGCACAGCTGTTGAGTGGAAAGAAAAAGCCAAACAAGAGCACGGGCACACACCCCCCCCCCCACACACACACTATTACCTTTGAGAGAAATATGCTTGCCTTGATAGATTCTCACTAACAAAGATATTTAACTGAACTTTTTCCCAATTGGTTCCAAGCATCCTGAACTGATAGGAAACTTTCTGATCTTTTAGAGACTATTAAGTGTACTAGCCCAGGGATTCTTAGGCCTAAGAACTTGTACCTTGAATTCTCCAGTAAGTCTCTTGTCTTGTAAAGTAACATGCTTTTCTACACAAATAAGTGTAATAACTTGCCACAATAATTAGTTGTCATTACCTCTGTAGTCTGTTCTTGGAAAGCATAAAGAATGCCATCAATAAGTTGTTCTTCAAGTTTATGATCAATATCTGCTGCTCCCAAGTTGCCCATAATTTTCTCAATTGTCTCCATCACCATTTTCCGGTACTGCTCAGCTTCATCTTTCAGATCATCCACAATCCTGGATATAATTTCTGCTGCACCTACTTTATTTGCCAACTCCACAGTAGTATCAACCAACTAAAAAGACAAAGAAAAGTCTTTCCATATACTGTCTTTCAAAGAAATAAAGCAACATGAAAAACAATTAATCTATGTATTCTTATTTAGCTGGTAATGATGATGAAGAATGTAACTAGAAAAGTAACTGGAAATTTTAAGTCTAAGTCAATTAGATTCAAAATAAAATTGTTACTCATGTTTCAGGTGGCCAGATGAAACACTGAACTTACTAAACAAAGACAGTAATTTAGTTTAGTATTTACACTAGATTACAAATCATAATAGAACTCATTGATGAAAGTCCATCTCCTTTCACAAACAAGCACATATAAACTGTAAGATAATCATACTAAAATATACCAGGTAACAAGCATTCAGGGTGAGTGAACAATTAATTAGTCAAAAGGGTTTTTTAATAAAATCATACCTGTCGGTAATTTCTTCTATCTAAAGCCATTCTGTGCTGCCAGAAGTGTTTAAAGAAAGGAGGAAGAATCTCTGTTTTTATGTAATTTGCTTCTACACCATCTGTCCCACAACACTGTTTTACCACCTAAAAGATTTTTAAAAGTAATATTACATCAAACACAGTACTGATACAATAAAATGTAGGCTAAAAAAATCTTTATAAAAATTCTTTAAACGATATAAGCTCAGGCTAGAGAAACAGTTACCTTCAGTACAATTTTCTTCATTTCTTCATCAGGAGATTGGAATTCTCGAATGAGAATTAACATCACTTCCCTAGTATAGTAGTTGGCATATTCTGCATCCATGAGAGGAATAAGATATCCAATAGCCTTTAAGAAAGCAGCTAAACCCTATTTAAAATAAAAACAAATAGTATTAGTTAGACTCATAGTGCCTTAACTTTATTGAAGAGAAATCAAAAACAGAATCTAATAGATGGATTTACCTTTCCTCTGTGTTGACGGATACCCTTCCATAGAGGTTTGAGCACAGAATCAAAAGATTCGATACCATAAGGAGTTGCTGCTTCAGCCAAGGCAGCAATAGCCAAAGCACTGATGGTCCTAACTTTCTGCTGCTCATCCACAAGACCTATAAAACCAAAGATAGGCTTAACCTATGAACCAACACTACTTTGTTGCCACAATATGATCCAGATTATAGTAATAGATCTAACATTTAACCAAACTACAGGAATCTGTTCACATTAGATAAAATTAGTCAAAAAGTATCTCTCCAAATTAGTAACCTAAATTTCAGGACAGCTGTTTTATAAAAGCCAAGTTATATTACAACTCACCATGTTCAATGATTTCAACTAAACTTCTCAGATGTGGCAAGATGGCACAGCCCATAAGAATAGCTATCTGCTGTACAATCTTAATACCAGTGTGTCTTGCTTGCCAAGACTTCTTGCTTTTGCATACAGCTTTTAAGAAGGGCAATAAAGAAGGAATGCCCAGGGCAGAGGCTACAACAGCAAAAGCTCTAGCTGTTGTGTTACGGACATACTCATCCATATTATCTATATCAGGTCTCATGGTAGAAATCATAGTAGCCAGACCAGCTGCCTAAAAAGAAAGACAAAAGAAAATAATTAACCCTCAACAATTTCTTGATAATCAAAGAATCCAATCAACAGATGCAAGCTTTCTTCTCTGAAAAAAATGTGAATACCTTTGCCAAGTTAGAAATAATCTCTCTGCCTTCCACTCTAGCATAGTAGTCTTCATCAATCAACAGTGGTTCAATGACCACAAGAATCTGAAAAAGAAAAACAAAATAGTTACAACTTAACACCAACTACCTATGTCACATTCATGTAAAACAAATTTATATTCATCATAACTTTGTTAAACAAGGGAAAAGTTTTCTAAAAACTTTAGTTACATAATTTCAAATCGCAGATATAGGTGAATATTTGAGAACAATATAAATAAATAATATTATAAACAGGGGGAACTATGGGGGGAGAGTAAAAGGAGGGAGTATGATCAAAGTACATGATATACAAAGCATGAATGAATCCTATTTAGAATATACAAAAAGAGCCAGGCTCACACCTATGACACTAGCTACTCAGGAGGCTGAGATCTGAGAGTCGAATTTCAAAGCCAGCCCAGGTAGAAAAATGTAAGACTCCCATTAACCAGCAAAAATCCAGAAACAGAATTGTTGCTCAAGTGACAGCATGCCATGCTTGAGTAAAAACCTACAAAAGTGAAAGGCCCTGGGTTCAAGCTACTGTCCTGGCCAAAATAAATGAATTATGGTATTTTAGCAGGGGAAGAAATGACACTGTCCAAAAAGAAATGTACTCACATTACCTGATTTATGTATTGTAACCCCTCAGTACATCACATTTATAATTCAAAAAAAAAAAAAAGAAAAAATAGAAACATACTTATACTCATCCTAATCTAATGTTAATAAAGACAAATGAAAAAGTGAGTATCATTTTATGGTACAGATAGCACAAAATGACATCTATATATATATCTGTACTTGTGTATGTAATGTAATCTGCAAAAAACAGATCTGAAAGATTGACCTAAAATACTGATTTAACAATAAAGATATTGTTTTTGTTTTTGGGTCCAGTCGTAGGGCCTGAACTCTGGGCCTGGGCACTGTCCCTCAGCTCTTCAACTCAGGCTAGCACTCTACCACTTGAGCCACAGCACCACTTCCGGCTTTTTTCTTTTTGTTTATGTGGTACTGAGGAATCGAACCCAGGGCCTCATGCATGCAAGGCAAGCACTCTACCACTGAGCCACCTTTCCCGCCCTGTTATAACAATATTTAACATTGGTTAACTCTAAACAAGTATAAGGAGTTTTTCATTTCTACTGTGAATGCATAGAATCAGCTAAATTTTCGTTGGTTTTAAAATTTCAAGAATACATGGGGCTGGAAAGGTGGCTCAGTGGTAGAGTGCTTGCCTTGCAAGCCTGAGGCCCTGGGTTCGATTCCTCAGCACCACATAAGCAAAAAGAAAAAAGCCAGAAGTGGTGCTGTGGCTCAAGTGGTAGAGTGCTAGCCTCGAGCTGAAGAGCTGAGGGACAGCACCCAGGCCCAGAGTTCAGGGCCCACGACTGGGCCAAAAAAAAAAAAAAAATCATTGAATTACTCTTATATTAAAAGTATTTGGGCTGGGCATTGGTGGTTCATGCCTGTAGTTACTTCAAAAGGCTGAGAACTGAAGATCACCATTGTAAGCCAGCCCAGGAAGGAAAAGTTTGAGACTTGTATCTCCACAAAACCACCAAAAAAGCCTTAAGTGGAGCTGTGGCTCCAGTAGTAGAGCATTAGCCTTGAGCAGAAGAGCTCAGACAGCTTCTAGGCCCTGAATTCAAACTCCAGGACAACAAAGAAACAACAACAACAAAAAAAAAAAAAAAACATGCTGTGGCTAGAACACTTGTGGTTGACCGCTTGCCTTGAGCACAGAGAGGATCAAGGACAGTGCCCAGGGCCTGAGTTCAAGACTCAGGATGCCAAAAACAGATAGATACAGGCTCCCCTTCCCCACAACGTTTCACATATGTAATCCTAGCTACTTAGGAGACTGACATGTGAAGATGTTTGTTGAAAGCACAGGAAGGAAAATCCATGAGACTCATCTCCAATTAACCACCCCCACAAAAAAAAAAGCCACAAGTGTAGCTGTGGCTCAAGTGGTAGAGCTAGCCTTGAGCAAGAAAGCACAAAGGCAGGGCCCAGCACCAAAACAAAAAAGTGGGGGGGGGGGGAGTGAAAGTATGGCTCAAATGGTAGTGTCAAATTTGTGCAAAAAAAAGCCAAGCAAGAGCATAAAGCTGTTGTGAATTCAATACCACTAATGGCACACAAGCATATGCATATGCATACACACACACACACACACAGATTAACCACGAGAAACACTATTTGAGAACAAACCTTGTGCACATACGGTCGTACTAAGTCATCAAGTTTGTATAATATTCTATCAATAACTTTCACAAGTAAATGACGCTCTTGATCCTCAAGTGTAGGAGACATCAGTAGAGGAAGAATCTGATTAAACAAAGGTCCAGCTCCAAATTCACGAGCTTTATCAGTAATCTGACGCAATGCAGCCTGGGAAAAATAGGAAAAAGTTATGTTTTCTGTATAATCAAATGACCTGAAAGACAAAATTACTCCAGGAATATTTTCTATAGTTGAATATTTTAATTATACAGTTGCAAAAAGTTTATATAGAGGAACATGAGATCATTTCTGTCCAAATAACTCTGAAGTGTGAATTCATTTGACAAAAACAGTGTTTCAGCTAATTCAAGAAGGGTAATTTACTAGAGCTACAGAATATATTAGTTCCTTACAAAATACTAGTAATTACTTGAAGTTAAAGCATTTAAAGACCTCAAACAAGCTGGGCACTGGTTGCTCATGCCTGTAATCCTAGCTACTCAGGTGGCTGAAATCTGAAAATTGCCGTTGGAAACCAGCCCCAGGAGGAAAGCCTGTGAGACTCATCTCCAGTTAACCATCAGAAAACTGAAAGTGGAGCTATGGGTACACTTTCAAGTGGTAGAGTTCTAACCTTGAGCAAAAGGGCTCAAGGACAGCACACAGGCCCTAAGTACAAGCCTCATGACTGACAAAAATAAAATAAAGACCTCAAGGGCTGGGATGTAGCTCAGTGGCAAAGCGCTTGCCTAGCAAGCACAACGTCCTGGGTTCGATCCCCAGTACCAAAAAAAAAAAGACAAAAAATAAATAAATAAATAAAGACCTCAAAGACAAAAAGGCTCCATATCCTTATTTGAAGAAAATTCTGAATAAAAAATGAAATAGTTTGGGAACATAACATAGTGGAAGAGTGTTTGCATTAAACCCTGGGCTCGATTTCATCAGTACCACATAAACAGAAAAGGCTGGGAGTAGTGCTGTAGCCCAAGTGGTAGAGGGCTAGCACTGAGCACAGAGGCTCAGGGACAGAGCCCAAGCCCTGAGTTCAAGCCCCAGGACCAGCAAAAAATAAAAATAAAAAAATTAAGTATTTTATATTACCCTTGGTGAAGATGAAAAGACCAGAACATAACAATGAATATGATGATTTAAAAAACTGACACCTACCTTTCTCATCGGAGGTGTTCCATTCTTAATTTTTAACAGCAACTTCATTATTTTTCTCTCTTTTTGCTCCTCTGGACTAAGTGTTGATTCATCCACATCAACCTAGAATAGAAATTAGAGGTAGGTCAAGATACTGATAATTTCCAAACAAAAAATAATTAATTTCCACAATTATCACTTACCAATAGTTTGTCAAAGTATTGAATGTCATCAGGTTTTAAAAACGGAAGATTTCCAGACGGCTGGTCATTAACACTTTTCATGGTTCTATCTTCAGTTTGCATGTGGAAACCAGTCATACCACCTAAAGGTGTTGGAGTTGCAGTCAGCTTCCGAGCTGGAGTTCGTATAGGAACATAACCAGCTGGAGGGGGAAGTACCTAACAGAGTTATAAGACAATTTAGGATTTTCTTGCTATTAGACACTGAAAAACAGCATAACAAAAACATTTCACTTGAAATATTTAACAATTTATTACCTTGAAACCTCATTTTTAGTTCTAGCAGAACTTTAAAACACTTATGACAAACATTCATATTTCTCATTTGGTAATTAAAATTTAGGAATATTGGAAGTATGAGAAATAAATATATGAGGCAGGATTATAAAACTGATCACTTTTAAACAGTAATTTATATAAACATAAAAGCAAATGTCAGCTAAATAATTTAGAATCTGCTAGGCGTCAGTGGCTCACACCTGTAAATCCTAGCTACTCAGGAAGCTGAGTTCTGAGCATTGATGTTCAACGCCAACCTGGGCAGGAAAGTGTGAGATTCTTATCTACAATTAACCACCAGAAAACTGGAAGTGGCACTGTAGCTCAAGTGATAGAACGCTAGCCTTGAGCTGAAGGACAGTGCTCAGGCCCAGAGTTCAAACCCCACAACCAACAAAAATAAATAATTAATTAAAATAATTTAGAATTCATAAAACTTGATTCAGTAATTTCCAAAAAGCTCTACCTAATAAACTTGCAATGGTATACACAATACATGTTTATGCTTTAGTAATAAAATTAAACATCATTCACATAAACATGTGAAGTATAAAAACAAATCTTTTGGGGCTAGGAAGGTGGCTCATTGGTAGAGCGCTTGCCTTGCATGCATGAGGCCCTGGGTTCGATTCCTCAGCACCACATAAGCAAGAAGAAAAAAGCCAGAAGTGGCACTGTGGCTCAAGTGGTAGAGCGCTAGCCTTGAGCTGAAGAGCTGAGGGACAGTGCCCAGGCCCAGAGTTCAGGCCCCACGACCGGACCCAAAAACAAAAACAAATCTTTTAAGTCTAAAACTCTACCAAAAACAAGTCAATGCCAAATCAAAATATTTACAAAAGCCCTATAAAACACACCACTTAATTAAGCTCTCTGTAAAACCATAAAATCTCTCTTTTCAATACTAGTACATGGCGTCACTAGTGGCTCATGCCTGTAATCCTAGCTACACAGGAGGCTGAGATCTGATGACTGTGGTTCAAAAGCTAGCCTACTCAGTAAAGTACATAAGACTCTTAACTAATTAAGCACCAAAAAAAGTCAGAAGGATAGCAGTGACTCAAGTAGTAGAGAGCTTGCCTCGGGCAAAAACAAAAGCTAAATAAAGGACATCTACTCAGGCCCTGAGTTCAAACCCCAAGCCTGGCACCACACACACAAAAACTACACAGTTTTTGTTTTTTTTTTTGGTTTTTTTTGTCGGTAGTGGGGCTTGAACTCTGGGCCTCAGTGCTGTCCCTCAGCTCTTCAGCTCTAAGCTAGCGCTCTACCACTTGAGCCACAGCACCACTTCCAGTTTTCTGAGTGGTTTCTTGGAGATAAACAGTCTCATGGACTTTTCCTGCCAGGGCTGGCCTTGAACCAGGATCCTCAGACCTTAGCCTCCAGAGTAGCTAGGATTACAGGCGTGAGCCACCAGTGCCAGGCCACAGCTTTTTTCTTTTTTTTTTTAAATCTAAGTTCCTGGGCAGAATAAATCTATACAGATCTTCTCTAATGAGTTTGAACTGCTGACTACAACTGTCAATTAGATTTAAAATTAAATTTCTGTTAAATATGTGGATGCCAACTGTTTTGTTATCCAATCATATTTTGTTAATTTATGTAGGTAGGCTCCAACTGGGACTATAGATTAAAAACTTCAGCTGGACCAGTGGCTCACATCTACAATCCTGCTAGTTGAGATTGGAAAGATAGAGGTGTTTTTTTTTTAAATTTTTTGTCAGTCGTGGGGCTTGAACTCTGGGCCTGGGCGCTATCCCTCAGCTCTTCAGCTCAAGGCGAGCACTCTACCACTTGAGCTACAGCGCCACTTCCGGTTTTCTGGTGGTTTATTGGAGTTTCACGGTTCACGGTCTCTCCTACCCAGGCTGGCTTTGAACCGCGATCCTCAGATCTCAGCCTCCTGAGTAGCTAGGATTACAGGCGTGAGCCACCAGCGCCGCTGGAAAGATAGAGGTTTAAAACCAGACACACAGAAATTCAAAACAATCTCCTCTCAACATAGAGCTGGATATTGTGGTAAATGCTTATGATCCTAGCTACACAGGAAAAATGATATAGGTAGATCACACCCCAGCACAGGCCTGGGCAAAAAGCAAGATTCTATCTCAAAAACAACCAGCAAAAAACAGGTCAGGAGAGAGGGCACCTGTAATCATAGCAACTCAAGAGGCTGAGACCTGGAAATCACTCCTTTTGGCAGAAAAGTCCAAGAGACTCTAGCTCCAATTTCCAGCAAAATGCTGTACTGGAGGTATGGCACAAGTGGTAGTGTACCAGCTATACATAAACAAGAGCCAGAGACTCTGAGTTCAATCCTGATACTGGCACAAAAAGAAAAGGATTGTAGGTATGGCTCAGTAGTGAGGGCATTTACCTAGCAAGTGTGACAAAGACCCTTAGTTTAAACCCTAGTACCTACAAAAATAAGAGCTTCCTATTAGTCACTTGTTTTCCGTCTAAATTATTTTTTGGTATTGAAATGGACAAAGTGGAAATAGCAAAAAAAAATGGAATGGTATTAGTAAATATGGGTAAAGCTAGTATAAACATCTTTTTTTCAACAAACAACAAGAAAATTTACATCCTAAATAGCACCACATTCATATTCACTACTACCTTATATCCTTCTGGAAACATAGCATCCAATTCTTCATCAGAGAGCGGACGATTTCGCTCATCAATTTCTCTTTCCCATCGCCAGGCCTGAAGCTGTTCAGGAGTCATGCTCATTATGTGACCTGCCAAAATTGGCAAAATGTTCACAATCAATAGTACAGGACTTTAATCATTACATAGCCCCTTAGGTGCTAATAAAGATAATGAAAATCAACCTTAACATTTATTTGCTTTTATGTAAACCAAGACTAATTTTTATATTACTCTTGCTAAAATGCTGATAATAACAGCCCACACAAAAAAATCAAACACACACAGAGAGAGAAAAATTCAAGTACATATTCAATTCAACCATTTTTTTCTTCCAATGAAAGAGTTTCTACCTGGAGTAGGAGTAGCCATATTCATGGCTGGTGTGCCAATTGGTGTTTTTCCAGGTGTCAGAACAGGAGTGCTTCCACCCATCTGACTAGCTGGTGTTTCATCCCAACGTGACTTTCTTTTGCTGGCTCCAGGAGTAGGTGTTTCACCAATTGAATCTCCACCTCGATCTGTTCGAGGAGTCTCAGCCCATCCACTTCCATGCCCGGGAGTATCTTCAAAGAAAAAAAGAAAGCAACATCAAATATTAACTATTGTTAAAAATAATGTTTAATCTCAAAAAGCTGAAATAATAAAGTAATGAAGTTTAAAAGCAGACTATTCCTAACACAAATACAACCAATCTATACAGACAGACAGACAGACAGATCCTTTTCAGGTGGGGGGAGGGGAATGAGGGGGCAATCCTGGGGCTTGAACTCAGGGCCTGAGCGCTGTCCCTGAGCTGCTTTTGCTCAAGGTTAGCACTCTACCATTTAAGCCACAGCACTACTTCCAGCATTTTCTGTGTATGTGGTACTGAGGAATCGAACTGAGGGCTTCATGTATGCTAAGTGAGCACTCTATCACTAAGCTACATTCCTAGCCCAGACACAACATTCAAAGTTTTAAAGTTCCAATTCTTTTCTTTATGAATTCCCTTGTTACATAATAACTTGACTAACAGGAATTAAAAGGAAAGTAACTTTTTCCCCAACTATAATATCAGTGTACACACCTATCTACTGTTCTACACTACATCTTTCCACATACTAGAAGACTGTGCATACAAAAATTCTGTGCTCTTCCTTTGTCCACTACACATTAAGAATTCCCAAAGTCATCATTGATTCCAGGCCAAAAAAAAAAAAAAACATAGAAACCCACAAAAGGTTACAGTCAGCCAGGCACAGCCAGGTACCCCACATGCCTAGAATCCTAGGTACCCAGAAGGCTGAAATCTGAAAATCAAGGTTCAAAGTCTGCCCAGGCAAAATGCCCATGAGTTTTATTTCCAATTAACAAAAAAAAAAAAAAAGCTGGAAGTGGTGTTGATTAAGTCATAAAATGTCAACATTAACTGAAAAGGCTAGGCTCTCTTCACTAAGCTCAGAACACCATGGCCCCAAGTCCAAGTCTTAGTTACCGTACCCCCCATCCAAAAACGGTTATAATCTAAAAATTCTCCTTTCTTTTATGATTCCTCCTAAAGGTCGTGGGGTCTGAACTCTGGGTGGGTCTAGGCGCTGTCCCTCAGCTCTTCAGCTCAAGGCTAGAGCTCTACCACTTGATCCACAGCACCCACTTCTGGCTTTTTCTGCTTATGTGGTGCTGAAGAATTGAACCCAGGGCCTCATGGATGCGAGGCAAGCACTCTACCACTGAGCCACCTTCCTAACCCCAGTAAAGCAACTCTTAAACCTCTTCATAAAGGAAAAATAAAGCCGGCGCCGGTGGCTCACACCTGTAATCCTAGCTACTCAGGAGGCTGAGATCTGAGGATCACGGTTCAAAGCCAGCCCCAGCCTGGGCAGGAAAGTCCATGAGACTCTTATCCAATCAACCACTCAGAAAAATGGAAGTGGTGCTGTGGCTCAAGTGGTAGGGCACTAGCCTTGAGCTGAAGACCTGAGGGAGAGCACTCAGGCCCAGAGTTCAAGGTCCACGACCAATTAAAAAAAAAAAAGGATAAATAATTAGACAAATGATTTGCTCAGTTCTTTATCTCTCTACAGTAGCTGAGCACTTATCCTTCAAAGATCTCAGTCAAAATAAATCACTTAAGTCAACATTTCACTCAACCACATTCACACTACACTCAAAGTACCTCTCTCTGTTTTGGGGGTCTCATCCCATCTGTTTTTACGAGCGCTGGAAGTTGCGCCTCCATGCCCTGGTGTTGCATGGCCTGGTGTATCGCCTCGTCCCGGAGTAGCAGCTCCCGCAGGTGTATGACTAGGTGTAGGATCCCAAATTTTTGAGCCTGGCGTTGCTCCAGGAGTCTCACTTCCTTTTGCGCGACCTGGTGTTTCATCCCATCTCAAGGAAGGGGTATGCCCAGGAGTCTGAACAAAGCAAAAAGTATTTTATTTCCCATACACACTCAGAGACACAAGTAGAAATTCCCTACCAAACAAGAAATATTTAGTTCGGTATTCTATAATTAAATGTTAAGACAACCTGCTTTAAAAAAAAAAAAAACACGATTAACAATGGTAGAGCACTATCCTTGAGCACAAAAGCTCAGGGATAGCAACCAGGCCCAGAGTTCAAGTCCCAGGAATGGCAAAAAAAAAAAAATTAAAATATACTGTGTGTGTGTCGACTAGTATCTCTGCAACTCTGGCATCAAACTGCAATCCTCAGATCTCAGAATATAAGGTTAAGAGAGTAAGAAAGGGACAAGGAGTGTGATAGAAGGAATGAAATTGATTAGAATACAGTGCAATCATGTATGAATAAAATTCTGCCTGAATCTGAATAATGAATATAAGCAAATAATCAATTAACTCAAGAAAGAATATAGAGGCAGCACCAGTGGCTCATGCCTGTAATCCTACCAATCAGGAATTGGTTTGACGCCAGCCCATGCAGAAAAAGTCTGTGAGACTCTTATCTCCAATAAACTACTCAGAAAAAGCTAGAAGTAGAGCTGTGGCTCCAAGTGGTAGAGCACTAGTCTTGAACAACAACAACAACAAAATCTCAGGGACAGCACCCAGGCTGAGTTCAAGCCCCAGGAATGGGGGGGAAAAGTAAAGAAAGAATATAGTCTAACACTTAAATGTCTGGCATGTCAAACACACGTGACCAACGGGGAAAGCAAAATGGAGGCAGAAAAATGCCTGCGCTGGGTGCTGGTGGCTCACGCCTGTAATCCTAGCTACTGAGGAGGCTGAGATCTGAGGATCACGGTTCAAAGCCAGCCAGCGCGGGCAGGAAAGTCTGTGAGACTTTGATCTCCAATAAACCACTAGAAAACTGGAAGTGGCGCTGTGGCTCAAGAGGTAGAGAGCTCACCTTGAGCTGAAGAGCTGAGGGACAGCACCCAGACACAGTTAAAGCCCCATAATTGACAAAAAAAGAAAAGAAAAAAGAAAAATGCCTGCAAAAGATTGGTAATTTTTTCTTTAGAATAACTGATTCGTTTGTTCCAGTGGTACTGCTAAAAAATAAAAAAATTTTAAAAATTGATTTTAACTGTCTATTAAACATCCAAGTGTGGCAAGGATGGAAAAATATACAAGTCTGAGGAATACAAAAAGGGACAGATTTAAAATTTTGAGAGTTTGGGTCTGGGACCGTGGCTTAGTGGTAGAGTGCTTGCCTAGCATGCATGAAGCCCTGGATTCAATTCCTCAGTACCACATAAACAGAAAAAGCTGGAAGAAGCCGGAAGAAGCACTGTGACCCAAGAGGTAGAGCGGTAGCCTTGAGCTGAAGAGCTGAGGGACAGTGCTCAGGCTCAGAGTTCAGGCCCCATGACCAGCAAAAAAAAAAAAAAAAAATGGGAATTTGTATATAGAAGTATCTAAGATGGCATGAAGAGATAGAAACAAGAACAAAAAGTAATTCAAAAGACTGAGCAGCAGAACACTCCAATATCCTTAAGTAATGGAAAACAGTATAACAAACAAGACTGCAGACTAGCAGCCTATGAGAGATCTATAACCAAATGTTAGGAGAAAAAAGGGTCTCAAGGAATGTCAGGTGCTAATAAATGTAACTTAGAGAAGACAGATTTAGCAAAATGAAGTCAACAGACCTTTAAAAGATATATATTTACACTGGCAAAAGAGCAGAACCAGACAAGAGACACTATTAAAATATTTTGAAACCAGGCACAGGTGATTCACATCTGTAATCCTACCTACTCAGGAAGCTGACATCTGAGGATCACAGTTCAAAGCCAGCAAGGGCAGGAAAGTCAGCAATACTCTTATCTCCAATTAACCTCCAGAAAAACCAGAAATGGCACTGTGGCTCAAAGTGAGAAAGAGCTAGCGTTGAGCAAAAAGCTCAGGGACAGCACCCAAGCCCTAAGTCCAATACTCAGAGCCAACAGTAACAACAACCAAAATAAAACAAAAACCAGTATTTTGAGCTGAATGCTAAAGGCTCACACCTGTAATCCTGACTACTCAGGAGGAAGACTTCTAAGGTGATGAGCCCTATTTCCAACAATCAAAAATCCAGAAGTGGAACTCAGTTCAAGCTGTAAAGCAGTAACTTAGCAAGCACCACAAAAAAAAAAAAAAAATTAGAGTCTTCAGCTGGGTGTGACTGTGCACACATCTAAGCCCAGTACTCAGGAGGCAAGTGGATTCGCAAGACCCTATCTCAAAAAGAAGAAAAATGGCTGGGAATGTGGCTTAGTGGTGATTGCATTTCCCCTAGCATGCAGAAGCCCTGGGTTCAATTCACAGTACCAACCTTGAGCAAAAGAAGCTCAGGGACATGCCTAGGACCTGAGTTCAAGCCCCAGGAGTGACCAAAAAAAGAAAAAGAAAAAAAAGAGGAGGATAGCCCAGCACTGGTGGCTCCAGGGCTCACACCTGTAATCCTAGCTACTCAGGAGGCTGAGATCTGAGAATCATGGTTCAAAGCCAGCCCAGGCAGGAAAGTCCATGGAGACCCTTATCTCCAATTAACCACCAGGAAACTGTTAAGTGGCACTGTGGCTCAAGTGGTAGAGCACTTGCCTGGAGGTGAAGAACTAAGAGACAGCACCCAGGCCCAGAGTTCAAGCCCCATGACTAATAAGAAGGGAGAAGAAATAAAAGAAAGTCAGTCAAGGGGGGAGGTTGGGAAGGAATGGGAAGGCTACAATGCTTGATAAGAAATGTGCTCATTATCTTGCCCCTCTGTACAGTATTTTCACAATAAAAAGTCAGTCAAACAAGATTATACTTTCTGTTTATCTGCAAATAGTGGTAACTGATGACTGCATAATTATTTACAATGCAATTAATGTGTCACTGGATCGCAAACTGTCTTCCTAGAGAGTAAGCTAGCCAAAAAGGAATAAGCATACCAAATGTGATCAAAGGCTTACATTTATCCATCTAGAAAACAAGAAAATAAATAAAGCTTGACTCTAGTGGCCCACGCCTATAATCCTCGCTACTCAGGAGGCTGAGATCTTGAGGGTCACTGTTCAAAGCCAGCTAGGACAGGAAAGTCGATGAGACAATGATCTCCAATAAACCACTCAGAAAACTGAAGTGGTGCTGTGGCTCAAGTGGTAGAGTACTAGCCTTGAGCTGAAGAGCTGAGGGACAGCGCCCAGGCCCAGAGTTCAAGCCCCATGACCGACAAAAAAAAGAAAACAAAAATTTTTTTAAGTATACTGCACTCTACAATGTAACATACTTATTGTTTATAACTAATACTCAAAAAGGAATGTTAATTTCTCCCTAGGTATGAAATGAACTGTGTGAGTCCATCCAAAATCCGTATTTAATCCTGAATATGACTGTATTTGGAGATTGGCAGTAAAATTAAAGGAATCCTACATATATACATTTGTGGTAATTTGTTACAGCAGCCATAGGGAACTAATACAAGAGTAACTGGTATCTTCATATTATTGAAATTTCCAAACTATAGCCATGGCATGGATCTTTTAAATTTTTTTCAGTTGTGTCTTAGTTTTTGATCTAGGAGGCATGTGTTATCTTTGTTAAATTTTTTTCCTAGGTATTTACACCTTGATGCATAGCATATATCTGCTTATTTGAAGCAGAAGCTCCTCAAGTTTATAAACTAGAATAAACCATTTCCACAGCTATTTTACTGCTGGAGGCTGAGTGTGGACTGGCATGAGACCCTCTTGGGAAGCAGTCTTAGGAAGACTCTATGCCTTCACAGACTGTTAGGTACAGGAATTCCATCAGGTTCTCAGGAGGAGAGCCAGAAAAATTCCTGGTAGCAATGGGAAGGGAGGAGAAATGTAATCACCATGAATCATACCCAAAGCATCCTCTGTAACAGTGGCAAGTTCTTATGGAGACTTTACCAGAAACTATCCTAGTTAGGGGAGGGACTTTCTTCTGCTTGATTATGGTCTAGCCATATATTATGTAAGGGGGAAAATCAGAGTCAGTGGGGTCAAAGCTGCAAGGATATTAATTGGGAATGTTGCTATCGGGTGAAGGAGTGGGGACAAGAAGAGGGAAGGAATAGAACTATCTAAGCATCTTTATAAGAAACAAGAGAAGATTATGTGAGGACACAGTGAGAAAGTGACCTAGTGAAGGCCAAAGAGATCCCTCACCACATACCAGTCATGCTGCACTTTAACCTTACACTTCTAGCCTCCACAACAGAAAATAAATTTCTGTGGTTTAAGCCAGACAGTCTAAAATACAATTACTACTAAAATTAAAAAAAAAAAAATTACCAGCCAGGCACTGGTGGCTCACCTATAATCCTACCTACTCAGGAGGCTGAGATTTGAGAATCAGGTTCAAAGCCAGCCTGGCACAAAGTGCATGAGATTCTGATCTCCGATTAGCCACCAGAAAACTGTAAGCGGTGCTATAGCTGAAGTGGTGGAGCACTAGCTTTGAGCTGAAAAGCTCAGGGACAGCGCGTAGGCCCAGAGTTGAAGTTCCACAACCAACCAAAAAAAGAAAATTACCTCTGCTTGATCCCAACTTGATAGTTTTTTAGGAGTGGCACCAGGAGTCTGATCGGCTGTTTGATCCCAACGCCGTTTTCGTTTTGAGGGAGGCTGGGATGCTGCTGCTCCATTGACGACTTTTAGTTCTCCAGCTTTAGCTTTTTCTGCTAGCTGCTGCCTAATTTCTCTCTGAAAAAGAAAAAGCAGAAAATTTTTACTTTTCAAATGCTGTAGGGTTAGCTCATACCTAATATGTATGAAGCCCAGGTTCATTCGAGTACCACAAAATAGCAAAACACATTCAATATATTCCTGTGTCATTAGTGTAGATGTTTCGATTTAATGTGCTATTTTTATTAAACTATTTTTTTGTCGGTCATAGGGCGTGAACTCAGGGCCTAGGTGCTGTCCCTGAGCTCTTTTGCTTAAGGCCAGCGCTCTACCACTTTTGAGCACCACTTCCGCCTACTGGTAGTTAATTAGAGATAAAAGTCTCACAAACTTTCCAGCTTGGGTTGGCTTTGAACCACGATCCTCAGATCTCAGCCTCCTGAGTAGCTAGGATTACAGGCATGAACCACCAGCACCTTACTATACTTTCGATACCACTAGTGATCTCACTTTCACTTTTCTGTATATCCAGTCTTATAGTCTTTCTTCCCAAACAATATGTAAGTAACTACAAAATTTGATACAGAATATCCTAGTTAACATATAATGAAGTAAAATCTTTTCTGTGTGAAGTAAAGTCTTCTATCAACAACGAAGAAATACTTATATTGAACACATACTGAAAAGACAGTTTTCTTTAAAATACAAAACAGAAAGATAAAAAGTGAAAATAGAATTTTCCTTCATTTATAACAAATACACTTACTCTTTTATTTTTAAAGTGAGGTGCTAATACCCTATATAATTTTAAAAAATAATTACACATTCATAATAAAGTATGATGGAAAGGAGTTTGTCTCCTAGCACTGCATGTGTGCCCACACAGAGTAATTTCTGCAGGTCCAGAACTACTCAGAATTCTCCATCCACAGTTAAACTGAATGTTACAGAACTGGTGGTTCTCCAAGAAATAACGTGACCACTCAAGTCTTTCCTAACACAATGGCTTCTTGAAGCACAGCATAAACATTCTCCCTTTAGATAATTTAAGGGAGGCTATGTACTTACATAGACAAAAGGACTAGAAAAAGACATAGAAATATGAAGTTTAATTTTGTGGTAGCTGTTTCTCAACTAAATCTATATTAATGTTAATGAAATAGTGCTTCCGATGTAGACAGAAAAAAAAGAAATAGAAAAGCCTACAATCATTCTACTTTCTTTACATCCTTTCAATAAACGTTCTTTCAATAAAGAAGGAAGTAGGCTGGTGGGAGACACAGTGGGTTCCTATAACCCTAGCTACTCAGCAGGTTGACATCTGAGAATCAAAGTTCAAAGCCAGTCATGGCAGAAAAGTCTTTGAGATTATTTATCTCCAACTAAAACCTATCATTTAAAAAAGCAGAGCTGTGGCTCAAATAGTAGAGAGTTACCCTTAAGCACAAGATCAGGGACAGCACCCAGAACCTCAGTTTAAGTGTGCAAATGCACACACATACATACATACACAAAAGTAAGCAAGCAGCTCAGAACAAACAACAGGTTCACATACCTCTTCTTTAGTTAAATGCTGTTCTCGCATTACATCCATGTAAGTTCTAGCATTCATTTTAGGATCAGGGGTCTTCCCTCCTGCAGAAAAGAACAGCAACAGGACAAGAGTACAATAAATAAAGGATAATTAGGTTCAACTGATTTATCTGCCCTGCACTAATATTATGTTATTCCATATCATTTAATTTATTTTTTGATGGAAAGCTTTAATCATTATACATCTTACTTTTATTGAGTTTGCTGATCAATTTAACCTGTTTGAACACAAACATATCTACAGCAGTTTAAAACAAATACTTTAATGCATATAAAAAGGAAATGACAGCACAGTTTAGTCTTCAGAAGTGATGGGTTCCTGGGTTGCTAATCCGGAATACGTACACTTTCGTGCCTTTGTCTCCATCAGCAGTTCTGACTTCAAGCAGCAGAATAGAAGCCTAGAAAATTATCTCTTTACCATTAGTAACACTTTGGAAAGATATTTATATTCAAAACATTACCTGTTGCAAGCTGTTAAAATCCTGACTACAAATAACTGACTACATGTGATCTTCATACAGTGTTCTAGAACAGTTGTAGCATAGAAATCAGATTTTTTAAATATTCCTATATTATTCTGATGTCAAAATACTAAAAGGGCTTCATTCTTTTAAAGTTTTTTGACCCAGAAACATTTTTATTTTTAGAAAGCATAAATTAAAACTGGAAACATATTACTTAAAATATATTACTTCTACCATTTATTAAGATGCACACAGAAGGAAAGTGTACAAAGAGATGCATTAGTCTCTTGGTTAAAGCTTCAGTATTTGCTTTTCAAACTTCAAATATCTTAAAGAAGCCCAAGTACTATATAACAAGGTTCATAAAGGCACACTACACTTTAGAAATGTGATAATTAGCTATACAAGCAGTATAGCATCATAATTTAGAAAAAAAAATAAAATTCTAAGACATCTCCTATACTGACGATCATGCCCAATTGGTAGTGTCATTCTTTCTGACACTAACTCTGATAAGACTTCCTTTGGAATACTTTTTCACCATAATCTAGAGAGGATGTGTTGAACTGCACCCTTAAGAATGCAGACAGGACTGGCATATAGCAGTACTGCTGTAGGAAAGAAATTAAGGACAGTTAGTATGGGCCTGTGAATTCTGACATACATGTTTAAATCAATTACAATTATGCAAGTAAAGAAAATATCCCTATTAATTCATGCAGGCTGAAAGTCTAATTTATAAACCTGCAGCAGCATCTAATTTTAAAAACAGGCACCTAATTTTGACTGTGAAACTCACTCACCTGAGGAAAGCTTCCATCAGGTTCACTATGCCCCTTGTGCTGACTTGCACACTAAAATTATCAAAACAGACTCCAACTATTAAAAATATCCAAGTCTTTGTATACATACTTCTGTTTAACTTCATGCTTAGAGCAAAGTAGGTGCATTTACTAAGCCATATTTAGAACAATATGGGGGAGCACTAGTGTGAGAAAGTTTCTCAAAAGTAACAATCCTAAAACTAAAATTTGGAATAGAAACTTTCAATAATTTGAAAGTATTTTGGTAGCAAAGCATATTTGTTCTAAGTAAGTATAGTAAGAGTACCCAAAACAAAAGTAAAAGAAAAACCTTTAACCCTTTGCGTTTCTATGGCATTGGCTCATTACTTTCTTGTCCTTCTACCTGGAAAGAAAACTTGCATTATAAAGATGAAGAATATGGCATCTGTGACTTCAACCAAATCTACACAAATCTATATAAGGGGTTTATAAAAAAGAAAAGCAAATTCATAAGCATGCCAAAAAAAATCAAAGGGCTAAAGACAACACATAAATAAATTTTTGAATACTTATAGGAAAGCGGGAATTACCATCTGCAAAAGGATCAAGACGCTCTGGGGATATTATCATGGTCCGTCTGTGCTTTTTATATTCATCTTCCCGGTCGGCAATCTTTGGGGGTCGGTGCTCAGCAAACGGATCATACTAAAAAGAAGGGTATTTATTTAATATCCACTTTACTAAATAATCAAGCAAAATATTATAAACAAAACTCAAGAATATTACAAAATACAAAGATTTAATTATATAATAGTAAAATATTCTGCATAATTTTAGATAAATACTAAGATGAGAAACTAAGGCATATAGCTGAGTGAGGTGGTCCACACCTATAATCTTAACAATGGAAAGAAAGGCAAAGAATCACTAGTTTGAGACCAGCCTATCAAAAATTGTAAGATTGTCTCAAAAACAAGTCGAAAATAAATAAATAAATAATAAAGCGGGATGATATGGCTGTGGTATATAATGTGTCTAGACATAAAAATGAAATAATATATTATGCCCACATTTCCATGGCTCAATGATTCATATATTATTACTTTTACAAAGTTTTATTTGTAATTCTAAGCAGCTCCTCTCAATATTCTCAATTGATTATGAAACTTTTTAGACTTAGATGGGAACTCATATTCATCTCTCCTAAACTGAATAAACTTGGTTTAAAATAAAAGTCACCTCGGGGGAGTATATGAACGGAGAGAAGAAGGGTGGGTGAAATACTCATAATATTCAATGTACATCGCCGGGCACTGGTGGCTCACGCCTGTAATCCTAGCTACTCAGGAGGCTGAGATCTGAGGACTGCGGTTCAAAGCCAGCCCGGGCAGGAGAGACCGTGAGACTCCTATCTCCAATAAACCACCAGAAAAAAAAAAAAAAAACGGAAGTGGTGCTGTAGCTCAAGTGGTAGAGCGCTAGCCTTGAGCTGAAGAGCTGAGGGACAGCACCCAGGCCCAGAGTTCAGGCCCCACGACCAGACCCCCCCCAAAAAAACAAAACAAAAAAAAACACATACACAAAAAAAAATTCCATTCACGCTGGTGGCACGAGAGAAGAGCCTGAGATCTGAAGATTATGGTTCAAAGCCAGCCCAGGCAGGAAAAGTCCATAAGATTTTATCTCCAATAAAACACCAGAAAACAGTAAGTGGTGCTGTGGCCCAAGAGGTAGAGCGCAAGCCTTGAGCTAAAGAGCTAAGGGACAGCGCCCTATGCTCAGAGGTCAAGGACCACGACTGACCCTCCCCCCTAAAAAAAGAAAATTACATTTCCATTCATATTATAATACCAGGGGAGAAAAAAAAAACAATATCAAGTACATGTTAGAAATCAAGCTACCAAAGTCAACACATGGGGGGCTCAGAAGGTGGCTCAGGGGGCTGGGAAGGTGGCTCAGCGGTAGAATGCTTGCCTTGCATGCATGAGGCCCTGGGTTTGATTCCTCAGCACCACATTAGCAGAAAAAACCAGAAGAGGTGCTGTGGCTCAAATGGTAGAGCACTAGCCTTGAGCTGAAGAGCCCAGGCCCAGAGTTCAGGCCCCATGATAGACAGGGGGTAAAAAACTCAACACATGGTTGTATGTATCGATAATCCCAGCATTTAAGAGGCAGAAGCCAGTCTGGGCTACACATTGGGTTTGAGACCAGCAATCTATCCTCTCAAAAAACTAACAGAAGTCAGGCACCAATTGCTCATGCCTGTAATCCTAGCTACTTCAGGAGGCCAAGTAGATCACAGTTCAGGCTGGGAATGTGGCCTAGTGGTAGAGTGTTTGCCTAGCATGCATGAAGCCCTGGGTTTAATTGCTCAGTACCACAGAAACAGAAAAAACTAGAAGTGGTGCTGTGGCTCAAGTGGTAGAGCACTAGCCTTGAGCAAAAGAAGTACTGGGACAGTTCGAGCTGGGAATGTGGGCTATTGGTAGAGTGTTTGCCTAGCATGCCTGAAGCCCTGGGTTTAATTGCTCAGTACCACAGAAACAGAAAAAACTGGAAGTGGTGCTATGGCTCAAGTGGTAGAGCACTAGCAAGTGCAAGGACAGTGCCCAGGCCCTGAATTCAAGCCCCAGGACTGGCCAAAGGAAAAAAAAATGCAAAGGAAGAGAAGGAAGGACATTTTACTCTCTAAAAGATCTCCTAATATCAATACCATCTTTCCAAATTAAACTAGGTAATTCAAATTTAAAATTCCTTTGTATTTCTTGCTTTCTCTCAAAATAAAGACAAAGCTTGCCTCTTAATACAGTTTATAACTTACATCTTCAAGTTCTGTTGCAGCAATTGATGTCACATATCCAGCAAATCGGCTGTCACTTCCACCATAAATCTCCTGGTCATAATAACCTGTAGAATCAAGGCCCACTCCTTGAGCTTCATCAAGAGCTGCCTTTTTGCCTTGAATTTCTCGAATCTGTGCTTCAATATCTGTAAGAAAGACAACATAAAGTATTTTATTTTCCAAAGAGCTCAGAACAATACATTTCCTTAGTGGATATTATCAAAAATACAGAAAATTTTAACTGCACCATATAAAGGGTTAAAAGCACTGTATAAAAGTGCATATATGCCAGGTACCAGTGGCTTACACCTGTAATACTAGCTACTCAGGAGGCTGAAATCTGAGGATCATGGTTCAAAGCTAGCCCGGGCACAAAAGTCCATGAGACTCTTATCTCCAATAAACCACTCGAAAACCAGAAGTGGCGCTGTGGCTCAAGCAGTAGAGTGCTCGCTTTGAGCTGAAGAGAACAGGGACAGCACCCAAGCCCAGAGTTCAAGACCCACAACCGACCAAAAAAAAAAAAAAAAGTTCATATACATCTCACATTAACAGACAATACTCATGGAAAGATGCTAACTATCTCATCAACTATTATCTACTCTCACCATTAGAATGCATTACCAAAATTCATTTTATAAATTACTGTTGAATTCTAAACCTTTGCCCAACTGAAAAATTAGTAACACTGATGTTCTTACTTCATCTCACCACTCACCAGAGCTAGATTTGGGTGAATGTAGCTCAGCAGTAGAGAGCTTGTCTACCATGAATGAGAACTTGAACATTCAATACCCAAACAAGAGATATTATTGAAACACAAAGCAAACAAAAACAAATATAAAATATACCAAGCAGCCTGGCACCAATGGCTCATGCCTATAATCCTAGCTACTCAGGAGATTGAGATCTGAGGTTTGTGGTTCAAAGCCAGCTCCTATCTCCAATAAACTACTAGAAAACCACAAGTGGCGCTGTAGAGTGGTAGAGTGCTCTCCTTGAGCTGAAGAGCTGAGGGACAGCGCCCAAGCTCAGAGTTCAAGCCTCATGACCGACCAAAAAAAAAAAAATGCTAGGGAGCTGAAGGTGTGTGGATGGAGTGGTTAAAGCACTTGCCCAGCAAGTGTGAGGCTCTGAATTAAATCCCTAGTACTTGAAAATAAAAAACCCCAACACCACTGCCAGAAATGTGAAAGCAACAGTACTGAGATGGACATGGTACAAGCACACTTAGTCCCAGATTCTTAGGAGGTAAAAACAGGAGTATTTGGCCAAGGAGTTTGTGTTCCAACACAGCAAGACTAAGTTTGAAACAAAAGTATTATTGTAGAGAATAGTTCTCAACCAATCTTCAACAAAGTATCTACAGATTCCGTGAAAATGTGATAAAGGATTTCATATTCCTAAGCAAGTCCTCCCCGCAAGTTATGTCCTATCTGGGATCATACTCTGAACAAAAATAAAGGGGGGGATGCAAGAATATGAATTCTCCCATGAAACTCAAAATTGCTAAATAAAACTTTTCTAGCTAGGTGCCAGTGGCTCAGGCCTGCATCCTAACTACTAAGAGCCCAAGATGTGAGGCTCACACTTTGTGGAGTCCAAGCAGCATAAGTCCGTGAGACTCCAATTAACTACAAAAAAAAAAGAAAAGCCAGAAAGTGGAGTGTGGCTCTAGTGATAGAGCACTAAATGAGCACAAAAGCTCAGAGACAGAGCCCAGACCCAGTGTTCAAGCTCCAGGACCAGCATAAAAACAAAACAAATCAAAACCAAACAAACATCTATTCTGTATAAAGTGCCCAGCTGCAGCATTTTGTTATAATAAACAGCCAGGAGCCAGTGGCTCACACCTGTAATCCTAGCTACTCAGCAGGCTGAGATCTGAGGATCACAGTTCAAAGCCAGCTTGGGTAGGAAAGTCCGGGAGATTCTTATCTCCAATAAACCACTAGAAAAACCGGAAGTGGCACTGTGGCTCAAGCGGTAGAGCACTTGCCTTGAGCTGAAGAGCTGAGTGATAGTGCCCAAACCCAGAGTTCAAGCCCTATGACCAACCAAAAAAATAAAACACAAAAGGTCCTACATTCTAACCCTTAGAAACAAAACTATAGTTGTTATTCTCTTCATTTTTCTTCAGTTCTTGTCTAAACATTATCTTTGTTCAGCTAAGTGCATTAAATACCAGTTAAGGGGGAAAAATGGGGAAAAAAAATCAAGGTGAGGGAAAGGTGCTAAATGCCTGTACTTAGAGATGCTGAGGCAGGAGGAATAGGAGTTCATGGTCAACAACAACCTGGGCAAACAATAAACAAACAAATGGGCTGGAGAAGTGGCTCAAATGACAGAGCATTTGCCTACCATGCACAATGCCCTGAATCCAAATCCTAGTACCACTGAAAAATGAAAAATAAAAAAGGAGCCCGGTGCCAGTGGCTCACGCCTATAATCCTAGGTACTCAGGAGGCTGAGATCTGAGGATCATGGTTCAAAGCCAGCCCAATAAACCACTAGAAAACCAGAAGTGGTGCTGTGGCTCAAGTGGTTGTGGTTCAAGCAGTTGTGGCTCAAGTGGGTAGAGCGCTCGCCTTGAGCTGAAGAGCTGAGGGACAGCGCCCAAGCCCAGAGTTCAAGCCCCACGACCAACCAAAAAATAAATAAATAAATAAATAAGGATGGGAATGTGGCTTAGTGGTAGGGTACTTACTTGCCTAGCATGCATGAAGCCCAGGACCTGAGTTCAAGCCCTAGGACCAGCAAAAAAAAAAAAAAAAAAAAATCTCAATTCATTACTATTAGCTTTATGTTCAAAAGTTGGTCATCTTGTAACTGCCCAACCCACTCATACCACATAAAAAAAGAAAACAGATGGAGGAAAGGAGGAAAGAAAAAAAAGAAAAAAAGAAAAGATAATATACTTCTTTTTTTGGGGGGAAGGGGTCAGTCTTGGGGCCTGATCTCGGGGCCTGGGCACTGTCCCTCAGCTCTTCAACTCAAAGCTAGCACTCTACCACTTGACCCACAGCACCACGTCTCGCTTTTTCTGCTTATGTGGTACTGAGGAATCAAACTCAGGGCCTCCTATATGCGAGGCAAGCACTCTACCACTGAACTACTTTCCCAACATTATACTTCTGAAAGTCATACTTTGCTCAAAGAAGAAAGTTGTTGAAGCTAGGCGCCGGTGGCTCACACCTGTAATCCTAGCTACTCAGGAGGCTGAGATCTGAGGATCATGGTTCAAAGCCAGCCTGGGCAGGAAAGTCCGTGAAACTCTTATCTCCAATAAACCACCAGAAAACCAGAAGTGGCGCCGTGGCTCAAGTGATAGAGGTAGCTCAAGTGGTAGAGCGGTTGCCTTTGCTGAAGAGCTGAGGGACAGTGCTTAGGCCCAGAGTTCAAGCCACATGACCAACAAAAAAAAAAAGAAAGAAAGAAAAAGAAAGTTGTTGGGTATAGAGGCATACATCTGTAATGCTAGCTTTTCAGGAAGAAAGGCAGAAAGATCAGGAGTCTAAGACCAGCACTGGAGAAATTACTTGAGATCCTGCTTCAAAAACAAAAGGGCTAGAGTTATGGTTCAAGGTGGTAGATCACTTCATGGGAAAGCCCTGTGTTCAATCCCTATGAAGGGAAATGCAGTCCAAGGAATAGCTGGGCCACACTTCCCTATAAGAAAAAAAACAGGGGGACTGGGAAGGTGGCTCAGTGGTAGAGCGCTTGCCTTGCATGCATTAGGCCCTGGGTTCAATTCCTCAGCACCACATAAGCAAAAAGAAAAAAGCCAGAAGTGGCGCTGTGGCTCTAGTGGTAAAGCGCTAGCCCTGAGCTGAAGAGCTGAGGGACAGTGCCCAGGCCCAGAGTTCAGGCCCCATGACCGGACCTAAAAAAAAAGTAGGGGGCTGGGAAGGTGGCTCAGTGGCAGAGTGCTTGCCTTGAATGCTTGAGGCCCTGGGTTGGATTCATCAGCACCACATAAGCAGAAAAAGCCAGAAGTGGCACCGTTGTGGTTCAAGTGGTAGAAGAGCACTAGCCTTGAGCTGAGACAGCACCCAGGTCCAGAGTTCAAGCACCATGACAGACAGACAGACAGACAGACAGACAGACAGACAGACAGACAGACAGACAGACAGACAGAAAGAAAGAAAGAGAAAGAGAGAGAGAGGGAGGACAGACAGAAAGAAAGAAAGAGAAAGAGAGAGAGAGGGAGGGAGGGAGGGAGGGAGGGAGAAAGAGAAAGAGAGAGGGGGGAGGGAGAAAGGGGGGAGGGAGGGAGGGGGAGGGGAGGGGGGAGGAGAGGGGAGGGGAGGGGAGAGGAGGAGGGAGAAAGGGAGAGAGAGAGGAAAAAATTCAGTGAACTAGGCCAACCAAAGAGCCCACCATCTCTCCTCTACAGTTTTACTGTAGTCTGTACATCACCACCTTAATCAAAATGACCTGGTAACTTTGTAAAAAATATGTAGTTTGGCTGAGTTATACTACGAACTCTAACTTAAAAGCTCCTGTTTCTTCATTAATACATATCCAGAAAAACATTTTACCTGGCCCTAAGCCTCCATTCCAACTACAACACATCTTTGCCTTTCTCCCCTCACTTGTTACAGCCGCCTTATTTTCCTCTGAAGAACTTTTTCATTTAAGTTTTTGGCAACTAGTCCTTCATTTGGATAATAATATATATTTACTCAAGAAGTACTTTCATCTACTGATTTTATGTACATTATGATTAGAAACAGTTTTCTAATTACAAAGGCTCATAAATACTGAATTAATGTTTGTATAAAATGTATGAAATCATCACTGAATTTCTACATTAATCAGAATTTAGTAATAAAATTATCTAGTCAAGCTCTTCTGAGGCCAAGCAGGTGTTTGTAGTTAATTAATTCTAAGGGGAATTAATTACTACATTTCTACAGGCTCAACAGTTAAATATTTTTATGTAAACTAGGCATCATTTTCAGTCTTTGCTGGAAACTATGGATAAAATCAAAAAAGCGAATGAATTTTGTTAATGAATTATCAACTGAAGCACATTTATACAATCATGCATGGAATCCACAAAATGAAGGTATCAGACATGCCTTGAACCTCAGAAACTTGTTAGGCAACTAACAGACGAACACACGCACGCACGCACGCACAC